TTGGGAGGCCACCTTGACTTTGCCTTAAAAGACCTTGGAGAGACGGTGACTCTGCTGGCCTGGATCTGGCTGGCGGGTGCCTCGGTCAGGCGCCACAGGCTTCAGCCTCCTGCCTGGCTGTTGTTGTTTCTGGCCAGGGCTGCCCTTCACCGTTTCCGGGCATGGGGCTTCAGGATGCCGGCTAATGCTGGCAGTGAGCCTGGGGGCCTCAGACTAAAGGAATAGAATCCTGACTCTGCAATTCAGGGAGCCTCAGGGTCCCGGCAGGGCTTCTGGAGGATGGGCAGGCCCGATGCCACACCTGGCCCCTGACACGTGTCCCGAGCAGTCTGGGCACCACGGTCCCATCTAAGCCCAGACTGCAAGCTCTCAAGGGGGCCTGTAATCGGGGGTGTGGTGGTGCAGATACCGTCTTTCTGCGTGCTGCGCTCGGACGTGGCTGGCTGTTGGCGGGCTGCAAGTGTGGTCTTTCTTCCCTGCCTGCCTGACCTGCTTTTGCCTACCCGACCTCTCTTTGGGGCGTAGCGTGGGGCGTTGCTTTGATCCCCTGCTCTTGGTTTCCCTGTTTTCCGTGCTTCTCCCCAGGTGGTGCTGCGCCTTTTGCTGGCATGGCGACCCGCTTCTGGGCCTTCTCGGTTCGTGGCTTCTGCCTGCAACAGTGGAGGTGGTCCAAGCACAATGACACGCTGACGAGGGCGGACGCGGCGGCGCCATGCGCCTTTCCTTTTTCTCTCTTCACGTTGGTGAGTTACAGCCCGCCAGAGCCACGCTCTCCCGCAGTGCGTCGTGGGGGTGCGTTGCTCTGGCACCGCCAGGACTGGCTCTGCTCTGTGAGCCACCACTTGTCCTGGCGCTTGAAGCCTAGTGGCCTTGCAGCAGGACGGTCGCGTGGGATGCAGACCCTGGTTTGGGTGCAGCGCCTTCTGGGTCTGCCCACGGGCAGGGTTTATACCTTTTAAGATGAGAGGCAGAGGCTGGATAGGAGATGGAGCTTCAGGGCTGGACGAGCCAGGCTGGCCTTAGGAACGTTGTCAGAGGGCCGCTCTGGTTTTTCACCTCGGCCTTCCTGTCTGTCGACGAGGTGGGTTGGGCAGGTAGAATCGGGGTCCCGGCTCTCTGAGGTGCTTGTCTGTTGCCATGCAGGAATGGGACTGAAAGCCAGATCTAATTTAATGAATCTGTTCTTTATGTGTGCGTTTTTTAAGTTTTAAAAAATACTGTGTTGGGCAGGACATGTCTCTGGCCTGCTGGCAGGACTCTGCTTGAGGCCTTGGCTGCGGTCTGGAGGCCCACCAGCACGACAGCAGGGCTGGCCCACCTTTCCCTCAGTTTCTTCTCTCCTAACCGCCCTCCTGCAGAGATGCAGGTCACATCAGCCCCACCCCACCCCAAGGCCTTTCCCTTCCCCAGCCAAAGCCCCTCCCCCCTGCCAGGCTGTCCAGCCGTCCTGGGAGACCCTTAAGGCCATGTAGGCTACCAGCCCTCCCTCCCTCCCCCATCCTCCCGGGCCTGCCCTGGGGTGACTTCTTTCTCTTTTTGAGGGCATCTGGTTATCCATTCTTTTCTGGGACACCCACCCCCAATACAATATTGGGAGCTAGAGTTTGGAGGGGAGACCTGTGTTTCAGGCCCTCACTGGCCAGCCATGGCTGCTCCAGCCCTTGCTGTTCTCAAGACTGAGCAGGAAGAACCAGGCGACCCCAGGGAATCTTAGAGCAGAGAAGGCCCCCAGGAGTGGGGACCACCCAGCCTACAGGGAGGAGCTGGGAGCAGTAAGCTCTAAGATGTGGGCAGGGCTCACAGAGGAGTAGTGGGTGATTGGACGGCAAGATTCCTAGGGGCAGGTCTGAAGCACCTGACGGACAGGTGCCTGCCCAGCCTGCTGAAGCCACCTTCCCCACTGGCACCTTGCCCTTCCTGGCTCTTCCCCACTGGCCTCACCCCTGCTCTCTCCTGGCAGAGCCTGACTGCAGCCCTGGCCGTGCAGAGATTCAAGGACCTTACCTTCCAGGAGGAATACAGCACACTGTTTCCCACCCCGGCACAGCCGTAGGCCTCCCCGGCCTGCAAGCCGGGCAGCCCCGTGTCACCCCGTGGTGCGGTGAGGCTGCAGGAGCAGCCTGGGGCTGGAGATGTCCGGATGCAGGGCGTGCAGGGCGGTGGAAGGCTGGCTTGAGGAGCCAGTTCAGATTCGCCACTTACTCATCCATTCATTGCCTGCTTCGTTTATTCCTCACATGTTCATTCATTCAGTAAACATTTATTGAGCAGCTGTTTTGTGCCTAGTGATGAATTAGCTGGGATCCCTGGCTGGGGAGCCCCCAGGCTGGGGAGGGGAAGACAAACACACCAAAATGTCCCCAAAAAGACTGCCAGGGCTGTTAGGGGGCTGCAGCTGGCTCCATGCACAGGCTGCCAGGAGGTGTCCAGGGACCTAGGTGCTGAGCTGTGGACAGAGGGTGATAGCCTGTCCCACAGCATGTAGTGTGAAAGATGATCTCACTGTCCCCATGGAGCTGGCTACCAGAGGGGCCTGACCTAGGGTGTCAGAAAGGACTCCTGTTCTGGCTCTGCCCTCATGTGCTGTGTGACCCGGATAAATCTCGGAACCTCTCTGAGGCTTAGTTCACTTCCCTGAATTGAGGGGATGATCATGGATCAACTAAGGCCATGGTATGGATTAAACAAAGGCCAGCACAGGGCTTGGCACAGGGATGCTCAATAAATGTAAGCTCTTGTTCATTCATTCATTCATTCATTCTCTCCATGATTATGGAGGTCAGGTGTGCCTCCATAGCCTCTACTTTGGGAATGATTCTCATACATTCTTCCAAAGGACTTTGGCCTCCAGTTCTACACTGTTTGTTCCTTGGGGCCCTCAGCTGCCTGGGTGGGAACCCACCTGTCCGCTGTCTGCAGGAGTTGAGGAGGCGGTGGAGCACAAACAGACCCCCAGAGCAATGCTTCAGCCTTGCTTGGGGCTGAGCACACAGAGAGTGAGCTTCCTGGCTCTGGAGGCATACAAGTGCAGACTGCTTGCTGCGCAGTGGCCATGCTGCGGAGAGTGTACCTGCTCTGAGAAAGTGGGACCAGGTTGAGTACCAGGTCCCTGGGCTCAGCAGAATGCCCAGCCTCCCCACTGCAGCCCAGTCCAGCAGGGGTTCAGGGCCCTCCTTTGCTTCTGTCTTGTGGCCCCTTGAACTGGTTGGCCACAGGAGGCCTTGACTTACTGGGGGCAGAGGGCGGACCATGGAGCCAGTACTTGGTGCCTACAGCCGGCAGCCTCTCCCTGGAAGGGTCTGCAAAGGTCACCTGCTCTCTGCAGATGTGCAGGGCACCAGCCTGGACGCTGGAGCCGGGGAGCTTGGGGAGAAGGAGGTCACAGACGTTGCTCTCAGGGATTCTGTCTCTGAGCCCTTGCGGGCTCACCGTTGGCTCAAGGGTGCCCTCAGGGAGCACTTCAGCTCCAGCATCTGAGCCCGGGCAGCCGCGACCTGTCGTCAGCATGGTGGGAGAACCCCAGAGCCCCGCACCTTGTTCTCAGCAGCCTCCGGCTCTGCCTCCCCCAGGCCCCTCAGGCCCCTGCACTTTGCTTTAAACAGCCACTTCCCAGAAAGGGCTGCCCCTCAGAGTTGTCGTCAGTGAGCACAGGTCAAAAGTGAATCCCTAGTCACTCGGCTTCTGGAACTCTCTGGAATAAAACACCAAGCATACTTCATTTCCTACCCTTTCACTGGGTGGCTCTTTTTGAGTTCCTGGTCAACTGAGAGCCTTGTCAAGGCCGATCAAAGGGAAGGAGGCGAGAGGGCCCTGGCATGGGGAGGGGGGACCCCCACATTCAGGGCTGGGTTCTGGCCCTAACTCTGCCATGGCCCCCCCTTCTCCAGGCCTCAGTCTTCCCAGCCCCAAAATGGGTGTGGGGAGCATTAGCATTTTCCCATCACAGATTCCCCCTGGCCTGGGAAGATTTCTGGAGAAAGTGTCACCATAAGCCTCTAAGCTGTTTTTGTAATGACATGTGTGACTTACTCCTTAGCTGGGTATAGTCAGTGTCCCCGTCCTTAATAACAATGTAATTGCTTTTATTGAGAAATAATTTCCGAACTATGCATGTGTGCTACGGACAAGTCTTCCCCAGTCTGGGCTCTGTGAAAAAAGGGCTTCAGTGGTCAAACATGGTTGACATATGTCACTTGTCATAGTTTCTCCCTTGGGCATCCAGTGTGCATTGAGTAGTCAAGGCTCTGACAAGTCTGATTGTTTCACTCTGTTCAACTCAGTTTCCCAAGCTCATTTGACCAATTGTTTCAGTTAGAGTTAGGTTCAGCAGCAAGTGGCAGAAATCCCAAATAACGGTAGTTTAAACAAAGTCCAAGTGTGTGGAGGTGGTCCAGGGCTGGCACAGTGACTCCAGAGCTCTTCAGTGACCCAGGCCTCTTACAGTTCTACAATTCGGCTCAGAGTCCATTTTGGCAACTAGAGCTCCAGCCATCACGTCTGCATTCCAGGCATCAGGTCAGAGGGTGGGACAAAGAACATGTGGGTACCCCATTAGCCAAAACTTAGTCACATGGCCACTCCTAGCTGCAAGAGAGACAGAGGAATGGCTTTTGCCAACATTGCTCTGTCCAACTAAGAAACTTTTTTGTCCTTCCATGTAACAGCCTTGGGGACACAGTTTGAGAAGGAGGCTGTGGGCCTTTGGGCCATCTTAACACCCCCTATTCCAGAATTTCTGATGGCCTAGAATGACCTCTGGGATCAAGAGACATGGGCAGGTGACTTGTGAGGTTCTTCCTGGCTGGACGTGTGGTTCTGGGCCTCTCCAGCGTGGCTGTGAGGACAGCCTCCCTTGGTTTCATCTCTGGTACTCTGAGGATCTTCAACCCTCTACTGCCTGTGTCCTGTGAACTAACCACCACTAACCCAGTGCTCTTGTCTGTCTCTCCCCTAACCATCCCCTCCCACCTGTCCTTGTCCCCGCCGGCCCCCATCCCCAGGCGGGCCAGGCTGTGCTGGCCTTCCAGCGGTACCAGATTGGCGCCGACTCGGCCCTCTTCTCCCAGGACTACATGGACCCCAGCCAGGACTCGAGCATGCCTTACGCCCCATACGCGGAGCCCAGTGCCGGGCCGGACCCCGCCAGCATGGGTGGCACCTACCAGCAGCCGGCCAACGCCTTTGACGCCGAGCCCCAGGGCTACCAGTCGCAGGGCTACTGAGCCACAGTGACGCCTGCCCCCTGCTGCCCCTACCCCTCTACCTCTGCCCCCTCCCTCTGCACCCAGCGCCCTGCTCCCTCCTGGGCTGCCCTGCCCAGCAGCTCATCAGCCTCGGATTTGCCCCACTGAGGTCCCAGGTAGCTCGGGATGGGGATGGGGCAGCCAGGTGTTGGGTGGTGTCTACATGTGTGTGCAAGTGTGTCTGGGGGCGTGTGCCCAGCAAGGGCCTGGAGGGTGGGGCCCGGGGTGTTTGCATCATTCATTGTGTCATCCGGCATTCATTGGGCACCTGCTGTGTGTCAGGCCTCACACAGAATATGAAAGAGGCAGAAATGGTCCCTGGAAAGGGGAAAGATGAGACGTGGAGGACACCGTGGTGGCACCAGAGGTAGGAATGGTGGGAAAGACAGACTGGATGACACGGGCTCAGTCGCAGGCAAGTGTGAACACCTGCAGGACACTGGGGCTGTCACCCCTAGAGCCATGTCGACTTCCCGGCAGTCCTGCTAGGAGTGTCAGGGCTATCTCCATTTTATGGCTGAGGAAATCGAGGTGTGGAGAGGTCAGAGTCACTCGCCCAGGGTCCCCCAGACAGCTCCTGGTGGAGGCGTGGTTGAGGTGGCCCAACAGCAGCGCGCCTGCTCCTCCCTGGCCTCCTGCCTCCTCCTCCCCAAGCTTGGGGCTCCACTGCTGAGTGTCACTGTCGTGGGAGACCTTAGGGACCTCAGTCCTATGAGACACCCTGATTCTGCTGCCAGCCAAGGCCTGTTCTGCCCCAGCTGTTCCCCTCCTCCCGGGGACAGCCCTGCCTCGGGTCCCTCTGTCCACATCCCCACGGCCCCTGCCCCTGGCCGCCTCCTCGAGGGCTCGCCACGCCCGCTTGTCCCGTGCACTGCTCTGCGCTCTGCGTGTCCCATGGGGAGCTTGTTCCAGGGTACTCCAGCGACCCTCTGGTGGCCTCCCAAAGGACTGGTCACCATCCCTTCCTCTAGGAGGACTCCCTGAGCCCTTGCCCAGGGCAGGGTGGAGGAGGAGGCCCAGATGGGGGTGTGACTGGCCCAGGGGCAGAGTGAGCGAGTGGCAAAGCAGGGCTTGCTGCCCAGGTTTCTTGGTCCCAGTCCCCCAGCAGGTGCCCCTGTTCTTTGCCCTTGTGGCCTCCCTGGAGACAGAACGGATCTGGGGCACTATGTCATCTCTCCCATCATCTAGGGCCAGTTAGGGGCTTGGTGGTGCAGCAGCCAAGGGCACTCCAGAAGGCCCCCAGAGAGTCAGCCTCCCTGTGGGAGGCAGAGCAGAGAGGACAGGGCTTCGGACTCAGCCAGGTCAGCTTTCGAGCCGCAGCCACGGGGGTGCACCACCCCCAAGATGACACGGGTTGGAGCCCCTGGTGCATGGTAGGCCAGGGAAGACCACAGGCTGTAGGGGAGAGTATAGCAGGTGACCCCAAAGGCACAAAGAGGTCTGTGGGGCTTGAGGGGCAGTGACCCCTTCTGAGCAGGGGCAGGGAGGAATTCTTGCACAAAGTGGGCTCTTCCCTGAGCCTTAAGGGACAGGGAGAGAGCTGGGGGCCCATCCTCCTGTCTGCCCAGCATCCACTGGCCAGTCCCTCAGGGAGCAGAGCGGGGGTTGGGGGAGGGTTGGGCACCGTGCTGGGTGTGTCCACCACCATCACTCCAAGCCCCTCCTAAGAATCCTAGGAAGCAGGTGCTCGTTCATTCAGCACTTTCAGGGCACCTATGCTGGGGATCAGCAGGTGTGTATGAAAAGTTCACAGTCCACCAGGGAAGATGAGCACTAGACAAATAATGGTAAAGAGTCCATTGCAGGTGGGAGGCACTAAACAGGTGCGCGGCGGGCCTGAGCTCCCCTGAGTACAGGCCTAAGGGTGGGCAAGAGTTAAGAAGGAACTTCTAAGCAGAGAAGTAACAACATTGTCCTCATTTAACAGAAGGGGAAACTGAGGCTCTGTGAGCATAAGCAAGTTAGCAGTGGGGCACAGATCTGGACTCTGGTCTGTCCCAGTCCTCCCAAGGGACAGCAGTAATGGAAGAGGACCCCAGACAGCTGAGTGGCAGCTGGTTGTTGTTGACGTCCATTTTCCACATCAGGGAAAGGAGTTCTGTCTGTGGTCCCCCCCAACGTGGCCCACGTGGGGACAGATTGAAGACAGGTTATCTGCTGGCCTGAGCAGTGAAACCTTGACTAGGCCAAAAGTGAGGGTGGGTGCAGGAGTGTTTCTGGCAGAATGAGGCTCTGTACCCACTGCAAGAGGCTGTGAGAGGTGCTGCCCCTTGCCCACTCCCACCAAGAGCCTGCCCTGCTAATGGGCGTTAGGAGACCCCAGGGTGGGGCCCATTTCTCCCTGGGCACCAACCAGCTGCTGGTGATCCTGGGTCACAGGGCAGGTACCTGTTAAGCTTCGCCCAATCCTTGGTGTTTATTATAGATCCTCCCGCCAACCCAGGCTAGGAAAGTTTGCAAGCCTCCGTCCGGGGAATGGGGGGTGCTGAGTCATCTCACTCTTCCCAGTGTGCGGCCCAGAAGTGCACCCCAGGCACAATCCCACCGGGCTGGGCTGGGCTCTGGCAGGGACCTGCCCATGGTGGAGATGAGAAACAGACAAGGTGGGAGATGTCCCAGGGTAGGATTTGGATGAGACCCAGGGCTCCTGACTCTGCCACTGGGAGGTTAATGGGGAAGCCCACTCCTGTTGGCTGAGGACAGCCCCTGAGCCCCCGGTCAGCACTATCCAGTATCCCCTTGCCCCTCTTCGCTGCCTTCTCTGCCTCTCCCTTGCTCCCAAACATTTCCTTGCAAAAGGGCCCCCCTTCAGCCTGACCTTGCAGAGTTTGGGCTCCCTCCCCATCAAGCACAAGAAAGGGCCCAGGAAACTGGGTTTTCCACACAAGTTTAGAGCTGCAAAGCCACTTAAGCAGACAGTGGCTTTGCCAAGGTCAAGCACAGAATGAGAGTTGGGGAGCCAGGTTTGCTTTCTGAGTTGGCACTTACCCAGTGCAATCACAGACCGTCTTGCCTGGGTGTCTCCCGAACCACCTGGGGGTGTAACCGTTGAGGGGCCAATTCCCAGGGGACTGGCATCAGTTCCCCACCCATCCTTCCCTAGTGATTCTTGATCTTCAAAGACTCTTGGGGGTCCCAGGTTCCATCATGTAACCAAGAGCCCTCCCCTGTTAGCCCTGGGGGACCCCCAACCTTGGCCTGAGACCCCTTTGATTCCTAAGGAGCACGAAGGGGAGCACCCTCCCACGAATTTATGGGAGGACGAGCTAATCCAGCTGCCTCCCAGTGCTGCCCCAACCTGTCTCTCCCCATCCCCCGGTGTCCGCAGCCCTTGTTTGGGTACCCTGGCCTCTCCTGCAGCGTTACTGCCTGTGTATAGTATAAATATATATATTTTCTATATATAAAATGTATAATATAAGGCTCCACAAATATATCTGTGTGTGCGTGTGTGTGTGTGTGTGCAGTGAAGGGCGGTCCCCATCCTAGGCCCCCCCCACCCCGCTCCAGAACCCCCAACACCTGGTTAAGTTTCTCAAGAGTGAATCCAGTGGCCCTGTGGCACCCTCCTTTATGACATCCATCCATTTGTGGTGAACCAAGTGAAGGTGGTGACTTCTGGTGACATAGTAATAAAGTGAAGACTCAGAACCCACCAGCAGACTGCAAGCGTGTTCTGGTGTTTCTTTGTTCTTTGTGCCTGTGGCTTGGGGTTGCCCAACCCCTCTGCCTGCCCGACCCAGGTCATGTCTTATTTATTTAATTATGTAATGAATCTATGAATACATTTGCCTTTTATTTACTTGCTTATTTTTTAGAGACAGGATCTTGCTCTCTTGCCCAGGCTGGGCATAGCTCACTGCAAACTTGAACTCCTGGACTCTAGTGATGCTCCCACTTCAGCCTTCTGAGTAGCTGGGACTACAGGCCTGCACCACCACGCCCAGCTAATTTTTTATTTATTTTTATTATTTGTAGCCATGGGGTCTCACTATATTGCCCAGACCAGTCTTGGACTCCTGGATTTAAGCCATCCTCCTGCCTCAGCCTACCAAGGTGCTGGGATCACAGGCATGAGCCACCGTGCATGGCCTAGTGCCCTTTTAAAAAGTGAAATCCTTACAGTTGAAGCCAAAGTCCCCCACCTTACATGTGCACGTGTATACACACACACATTGTCACATTCCCTATTCTGGTCCTTTCCATAACCCCTATAGGTAACCAAGATTAGGAGCTTGGCCTCATTCCTTCCCGACCATTTCCATGATTTTACATACACATGTGTACCAGACATGGCCTTGAGCTGACACAACATTTACCCAGAGCCTACAGAGTACCAGACATTGTGCTAGGCTCTGTGAGTTCAACATTGAACCAGGTAGACAGTCCCTACCCTCACAGAGTTGGCCATATAGTGGGGGAGATGGACGTTAAATAAACACGCAAGCAAACTTATAAATTGTGCTGAGTGGGGTTGGAGAAAATGTCAGAAGGCAGCGAGGTCGCCATCACAGTGGAGGAGTGGAAGAAGTCAAGATGTACCGGAAGGAGACGATCTGCAAATGGAGAGAGAAGCAGGTGTGACAACGAGTCCCCACCAGCAGAGGGGCGGGAACTCCCGCCCTGTGGGAGGGGCAACGCGCGGTCCTCGGCAGGACCGCCAATCACTGTGTTGGCCACGCCCACACCGCGAAGGGGCGGGGCAATTAGAGGCCAATCGGACTGCGGCTAGCGGGAGTGGGCGGAAGTGGGAGGAGCCTTGCGGGGCGGCGAGCTCCAAGGGGAAGCCGAGCGTGGCCGGCGCTGGGGCGCCCGGGTGGGGGGCAGTCGACCCGCGTTCTCACCCCCTCCGCCTTAGGGAGGCCGGAGGGCCGCCACTCCCTGCAGTCGCAGGAGCGCCAGCACCCTTAAAGGCCGACCGTGGGGCTGCTGCTCGCCACGAGAAGAGCAGACCCCTGGGATACAGCGGGGGCGGGCTTCCACCAGTCCCAGGCTGGTCAGGCCACCCACCCTGCTTAATTCCCGGCCCTCGCACGTGACAGCCCCTCGCCTGCCGCCCCCTGCCCCGCCCTCCACCCGAGTCTTCAAGATGAAACGGAACTGGGATCCGCCAGACAACGGGACACGTGTGCGGAGTTACTGTTGCTACTTAACAGTCACACCGGCCTCCTGTGCACTTCCTTTCCTCGACATGATTACTCAGGGATTCGCTCCACTCTTTACAGTTATTGAAGCACTGTCACATATATTACCTGCAAAGCCCCCCGCCCCCCGCCCCTGTGGGACGATTCAAAAGGATGAGTCTCAGGTGCAGAAGACAGCCCCCCCAAAGGGTTAAGGAGGACAACTTGGAGAGTTTGCAGCCATGGAGGAGCATGTCAACCTGTCACAGTGACCAGCTGTCCACACTGTGATGTGGCTTTTAAAAACTGATAGTGGGATCTTCATTCATTGGATGTAAGGGAAATCATTAAACACTGAGTTTTTTTTTTTTGTTTTTTTTTTTGAGACAGAGTCTCGCTTGTTGCCCAGGCTATAGTGAGTGCCGTGGCGTCAGCCTAGCTCACAGCAACCTCAAACTCCTGGACTCAAGTAATCCTTCTGCCTCAGCCTCCCGAGTAGCTGGACTACAGGCGTGCCACCATGCCCGGCTAATTTATATATATATATATATATATATTAGTTGGCCAATTAATTTCTTTCTATTTATAGTAGAGACGGGGTCTCGCTCTTGCTCAGGCTGGTTTTGAACTCCTGACCTTGAGCAATCCGCCCGCCTCGGCCTCCCAGAAGTGCTAGGATTACAGGCGTGAGCCACCGCGCCCGGCCTGAAAGAGTTTTAACTAAGGACAATTTGGGGAAATATGTAAACCTTCCAAAGAAATACTAGTTTTCAGAATCAGGGCTGCTGAGTAATCTGCAGGGCCCAGCTAAGTGAAAATGCAAGGCGTCTTGTCCAAAAGGCAGTTTTCAAAAAAAGTGCAGTTAAAGGTACACATAGGCCAGGTGCGGTGGCTCACGCCTGTAATCCCAGCACTTCGGGCGGCTGAGGTTGGAGGATCACTTGAGGCCAAGAGTTGGAGACTAGCCTGAGCAACATAGCAACACCCTGTCTCTATTTAAAAAAAAATTTTAATTACATATAAAGCTTTTTAATTTTTTAACATTTATTTTATTATTTATTTGTATTTATTTAGAGACAGGGTCTCACTCTGTCACCCAGACTGGAGTGCAGTGACTCTATCATAGCTCACTGCATCCTCTAACTCCTGAACTCAAGTGATCTACCTGCCTCAGCTTCCTGAGTAGCTGGAACCTACAGGCACCTGCCACCGTGCCTGGCTAATTTTTCTAATTTTTGTAGAGATGGCGTCTTGCTCAGGCTGGTCTTGAACTCCTGAGCTCAAGCAATCCTCCTGCCTCAGCCTCCCAGAGTGTTAGGATTACAGGTGTGAACCACAGTGCCTGGCCCAGCTAGTTTTTTAAAAAAAATTGTAGAGACGTGGTCTTGCTACATTGCCTAGGCTGGTCTCAAACTCCTGGTCGCAAGCCATCCTTGCCGCTGCGGCCTCCCAATTTCTGGGATTACAGGTGTGAACCACCACATTCAGCCATTTCTATATAATTTTGATAACTTGTTTATGTATTTGATTTTTATATCTTCAATTACAAGGAAAATTTAATTTTCAAATTGCCTGCATCATTAATAATGAAGCCTCACATGAAAATATAATTATTTCTGTGCACTTTACATTTAATTTCTATTTCTAAACCTGTGGATATTTGCAATATTGCAGCAGTTTTCAAAACCAGAGGGTCTAAACTCTTAGAAGAATCTTTTTTTTTTTTTTTTATAAATGGACGAGGTTCTGGGGCCCCAAGAGCGGCCCCCGGAAGTCGCCCACTTAGAAGAATCTTAACAACCCCTTGACATGCTTTATGGCAATGTCCATGTGTATGCTTTCCCTTTGTAATAATTTACGGACAAAGTTTACTGCCTGAGTGCTGGCAGTACCCATCCCAGCTCTTAGGTGGGTGAATTATATTTGCACAGATGCTACAGCGATGAGCTCTTCCAAGTGGAGTCCCTTCCCTCGCCATGTCCTCGGTGATGGCATGGCACCGTGCTGCTGCCATCAGTTTCTTCTGCTACTGCTGCCAATCTGGGCACAGATCCTGGCCCCTGCTGTCCCTTTCGCAGCCCCACAGTGTTCCAGACTGCCCCGCCATGTGGGTGCACACAGGGTGGCCAGGCCAATTGCTAGGTAACCATGCTGCCCACTGCTTGCCATCCTTGCTGACCTGAGCCAGCTCGCAGCCACCTGGTGTATCTATCTTCTCTGCTCGTGCGCATGCTTCATTGTCTCACTGGACTTCCCTTACAAAACCCGAGTTCAAAAATAAAATTATAGAGAATTTCAAGAGGGTGAAGGCGAAGCATTAAACCAAGTGCTGGGCCTATTCTGAGAGTGGGCTCTGTGGGACTGCACGGTGAGCCGCCCACGGATGCAGCCCCGCTCAGAACACCGATCGCAGCCCCTCTCCACTTCCCCTTTGTTCTATTTTGAATCTTTTCTTCTCCTTTGAGTCTCCTTGTCAATTAGGTGGATGCACTTGACTGTGGGCCAGAGCTCTGCTGAGCACTTTGTAAAACACCGTCTAGCTCACCTCTTTGACCACCTGTGACAGGGCACTAAGAAGCTCCCATTTTACAGGTGAGCAGCTGGGCCAGAGAGGAGAAGTGTCGCAGCAAGTCCCCTGGGGCAGGGTCTGACTTGCACTGTAGTGTGTCCAGCTTCACAACCCATGCACAGAGCCACTTTGCTGCCTTTTGTTAAACTATTTTTATACATTTTCGGTAACTCACATATCCTTAAAGCCTATTTTTTTATGTGAAAAGTCTCCCAGCTGTGCAAGTTTCTGGATGAACAAAGAATCTGTTCTCCTTTGTGCTCACTCAGCGCTGGGGTCTTCCCAAACCCTGTCCCAATTATGTGACCTAGAAATGCTACTTCAAATGTTTGAAAGATCTCAGACAAAACTGAACGGGCTCTTTTCCTCGAGGATTTTTTTTTTTAAAGACAGAGTCTCTGTCACCCAGGCTGAAATGCAGCGGTGTGGTCATAGCTCACCGCAGCCCTGAACTCCTGGGCTCAAGCGATCCTCCTACATCAGCGTCCTGAGTAACTGGTTCTACAGGTGCGCAGCACCATGCCCGCCTTCCTCAACCCTTTCCAAAGTCTGCAGGCTTTTCAAAAGTTGCATGCATGGGCTGAGCCCTCAGTATCAATATGGTTGACTCCCAGACCCATCCTTGGACCTCCTCCATCCGCACTTGCTTCCTTGGTAGCTCATCTGGTCTCATGGCTTTAAATATGCTCTGTATACTGACCCCTCTCAAGTGTACACCCCAGCTTGGGCCAGTCGTATATCCAACTGCCTTTACTCTGAGACACCTGGCCGACATTTCCCATTTAACAAGACCCCAGGGCTCTGCTTCTCCCACCCATGTCCTGGCACTCTCCCCCTTGCTCCAGCCACACTGGCTTCCTTGCTGTTCCTAGAACACACCTAGCACATTCCTGCCTCAGGGCCTTTGCACTTGCTGTAGCCTCTGCCTGGAATGTTCTCCCTGTTCCCTCCCTGCCCAGGTCTCTTACGAAGACCTG